AGAATATCTCATTTCTAGATACAGCTATAAAGTTTTGGGCATTAATGTAATTCAAAATCAGTAAATGATAGATGTGCATTAGGTTAAAGAGATGTTAAAAATGTGCAACTTTGGAATCAAACCAACAGTGACTATATTGTCATATTGTTAATGGTGTAACTGTACATATGTGCTAAGGTTAAAAACTGTTTTGAAAATTTTTAGTTCAGGCTTGGAATGTAAGAATGGATTTAACACACTGAGTACTGGATCTGTATCTGAAGAATAGTGCTGTCATTTGTCTCCAAAAGTGGGTATACAGTGACAGTTGCACAGGATCAGAAATTCACTATCTTGTATATAGATTGATTAGACTGAAAAGGTTTTAATTTACATTGTTGACATTGAATTTGTTATATATAAATATGTGATACTTGCCATTGTCATGCCTGAGATATTTCTGACATTTTTTTGTTTGGTGTTTTCCTCATGTAATGTCATTCTTCAGTCCAGATTTGGATAAGGATTGGTAAAGTGTACAAACTTTGTTATTCTTTATACCAAATGCTCCAGAACTAGATTTAGTATGTTTTGAAGCTGTGGCATAGAAGTGGTTAGAATGGGGCATGTCATGAGAATCTCTAACCTATCTTGTATGTGCTATGCACAATTACTTATGTTAACACCCCAACCTAAGGTGTTATGTCTGACTGTTTGACCAAGGAAATTGAAGAAAGATGCTGAGGCTATGGTCCCTGATTCTGGATTTCTCTCACTAAGCAATGTCAGTGAAGCAGGCATGTGAATCATGATCCTGTTTGCAAAACTGACTGTGTGTAGCAAATATAATGGAAGAAATACTATGTGAAATTTGTGTGTTGTTGATCTTAAAAACCATTACCATTCCAAGCTTATCCTTACTTGAGAAAGTTAGAGAATTGAACCCATGAGGGTTTTATGAAAAACTGGATTGAACTGGCTCAGGATATGGCCCAGTGGCGGGTTCTTGGGTTGATTGTGATAAACTTTCAGGTTCCATGACAGGAAACATCTTGATTAGTTGAGTAACTGTCAACAGTTCAAAAATATATTGTACCTTGGAGTTATTTGGTCAACATGATTCACAGTCACAAAAAGTTGGATAGCATTTCCTCAGGTATAGGTATGTACAACAGTTCCATTATCAGAAAATATGGGCTGGGGTTTTCCCTCATTGTAATACGATTTTGTTTAGCACTGGGAACGTGCAGTAAAGCGATACTAAACATTCAGATGTGTGATTAACAATTATTTCTTACCTCGGAGCAACATGAGGGCATCATTCAGGTATTTTATATGAAAATGTAAATACTTAATTCTTTAGTGTCCTGGGAATGCCCAGCCAGACACCTATTAGCTCACTGACCCGAGATCTCTGATATTGTTGGCACAGTTGTCTATGGTCAACGTCTAGCAACCATTCCAGAATTATAAAGTTATGCTGACATGTCCTGATTTGTTACGTATCAGGGGGGATCAGAAAATTCCTATTGAGGATTATGTCACGTTACCCAAGATGTCATAATGGGATAGTGGATTTCTAATGCGAGTAACAGGATTCCTTGGAAACCCAATTGCAAAGCCTGTGATCACCTCACAAAACTAGTATAAATATCACTGTCCCAATTGGATTGGAACCCATATTTTCACTGTTTGTGCACCCTAAGATAATGTGAGCACAGGTCAAGTCAATTGTTAAATATGACTGGGACTTCAGAGTTCATAATTTCGAGAATATCTTGGTTAACGAAACCAACAATGCACCTGATTTGTGGGAAGCCATCAGAAGCAATTAAACTAAATTGTCATAGTGTTCATATTAATGTGATGAGTCAAGTCATGTAGTCATATGGAGAAGCAAGAAATATTTACAAAAATATGGTTTGAGAAGACAAAAGTGGAAGTGAGAGGGCAGTATTAAAATCTATCTTGCAGAACTCGATTAGCATGGTAACTGCATGTACTTCCTACTAGGAACTACTCACTTGAAGATGATTTTATCTGTATGACTTCAAACTTTCACAGCAGCTAAAGGCAATGGAGACTTCTTGGATCATCATCCATATGAATATGGAAATCAGTATCCAACAATCCAAACTGTTTCTGCCTTCATCGCATTAGTCCCTGATGATGGAGGCACAGAAAGTTCCTGAAGTACTGGAAACTAGTTCTGTACTCACATTGCTGTTTGCCCATGAAGACCTCATTGTATACTGCTCTCCCAGTATCCTGATAATGAAATTTAAGAACATATCCCTCATGCTCTCTCTTGAGAATTCCCCAACCATGTTGAGGTCTTGATATTGTGAGATACCACAGACAAAGAAAACAAGCCTCTAGTTTGGTAAAGAAGTGGCAGGAAAAATTATGTTTCTTTACAACAAAAGTTTTCACATATTTTTTTACAAACTTGTTTATTGAGCCATACAAATTTTGTACATAGCAAATACAAGTTTCACGCAAGAAACATGGTCCCTTTACAATGTTGCCCTCCATATTGGCACTTACTTCATCCACTGATTTAACAATGAGATTAATCATATTAACAAAAATATTCACACCTAATAACTATTAATTAAAGTAAACATGATATGTAACACATTTCAGTTTTATTAGTACACTGTCTCTTTACAGTAAATGAGATTGGCATATTTTTAATCTAGTTCTGTCATTGTTCCATAACATGCTTCAATTGAAAAATATAAGTCAAAAACTATCCTGCAGAATTGTTATTGATGTTAATGGAAACAATATATCGCAAAATTTACATGTATTGTTAACTTTGTAGGTACTCGGTATGAGCTTCACTGGTCATTCTGACAAATTCAAAGCACTACAGGAACTTATCCCGATCCTTTTGCAAGGTTTAAAACATTATCTTCATTTCAGC